CAGTGTAATGCAAATGGCGATCAATATGTTCCGACTATAGCTTGCCTATTGGATGATAGTTTCGGCACGACCGCCGGTTTCGTCACATCCATGTCGTGTTATGATCGATATGTACCAGAATATTACTTACCTCGTTAGACAATGTGATTGGTGCAGGTTACTTTTGATTTGTTTTCTGGCTGAGATTTGTGCGCAACACATGTGTAAAAATATGATAATGCCGTTCCTGAAGGAATTTTGATCAAAGTTCTTACATTAAAGAGTGGGTATATCCTTATCTCACAATCGAAGGGTTCGTCGCCGACTGGTTTGATTCTCGGTTGGGTTGATCAATGTGCGCTGCTAATGTGACCCAACCAAGGCGGAGCAACCGTTCAGTGCTTTCAAGCTGTACAATTTGCACTTCATTTGATCTGCGCACAATGAAAACACGCATGTAATTTGCGCGTGTCTTTAAAATACACATCATTCTGGAAGCATTTGGTATCTAACTTTTAGTTAATGAGCCGTCGATCTGGTTGCACTATCTTCGTCATTAGGTAACTTGATACTCTGGGTCTTTGTTGTCGGTTGATCTACTAGATGCGATTATTCAAACGATCGAAGCCGCTGCCGTTGGTATAAATACTTTGGGCCCCAAGTGCGATGATCAAGCCCTGCCCCCACCAACCAACTTGACTGATATGCGGGTTTGCTAACGAATGACTTCGGGGTATGCTTATCTAATTTATGGACAATTTAGGTCCCCATTCCGAGTTTCAGGACCCCATTTGTCAATTCCCGCAACCGAAAAATCATTTGTGATATTGAGATTGAGCCCTCCTATGATTCATCAAACCATGGCATCCATTAAAATATGTTTTATCTGGCAAAACAAGGATCAATAATCTAAAGTGAAATGAAGAACATTTAATTTAATTTAATTTAAGGCGATGGAATATTTTCTCACGTGTTTCGCTTCAGAAATTTCCGGGGAGAAACTTTCCGGATAATGGAGTGACTACCGGTTTGTAACTGACTTTCGTAATGATTTTCACATGGAAAAAGTCTTAAAAAGTTAAAAAGTTATCCTTTCATAATAGTAACGAGTGAATGGTAGTCAGCCGATGAATATCGAACATTCAATATTCTAGAAGATATGCTGAAAAAAAATTGCTTCTCTATATAAAGTTTAATCCAACTTCAATTTGTGCACATAATAACGGGGCAGTGATTCGACGGCAAGATTATAAGCCAATGCTCCACTTACGAGGACCCACGTGGCGACGTCTTTTGCATCAGACGGAAGATATAGTGTTTGGCAGCACGGTCAGAGGCGCAGTTATTGTGACCATATCAGCTAAATGACGGGTAAAATTGCAGAATAACCATGAACACCACCCCAACCACCAACATCAGAAAGAAAAACCACATGTGCAAGAACAAGATACCTTCACAAGGTCAATACCTGTCTTTAAGTGACAGAGGGAACTGCCTTTGACGCTATACATTCGGTTGGTTATTCGGTCAAGGTAGATTTGGTTCCGCGAGTATTCACTCGATCTGAGAAAAACGCTTACATGGGACATTCCGAAGAATCGCGCCAATCATGTCAGAAGAACGACTTACTTTGAGGCCAACCGGAAACAGAGAGAGCGACGTAACATGGAAATAGAGTAGCCAATAATTTCCTTCTTATTTTTTACTTCTGTTCATGTGTAGTTTAATCGCATTTCATTAAGAGGTTCGTAACCGTATTTGGTTGGCCTAATCCTCTTAGTTACTCCAATCTATATCCTACGATTTTTCAGTCAGATACAATGAGAATAGTGTCGGTCATCCGTTTCATCCGTTATTTTCAATAGCTTCAGTAAGCTAATCTGAAACGTATTCAACGGTATATTGGCTACCACACTGAATGAACACAAAAGAAGAAAGAGTAAGTTTGTGCAACACCGTAATGAGAATATGCGAATGCACTACCGGGGTTAAGGACCTGGATTGTGTGTTCGGTTATTGGCCAAATACTAAAGCCTCACAGTATTAGCTTTCTTTCTGTCTTTATACATTGGATAAAGAGTACCCAGTGAAATATTATGGTTAAAAGGATTTTAGTTTGTCAAATATAGTCAAAATATGGCTGTTCTGGTGGACAGGATAGAAATAGACATTTTCTACTTATCATGGGCATCATAAAATGTATAAATGTCGAGCAGTGTTTGTAAAGCAAAATTGAACACTCGTATTTTTTGTGTTCGCAGCCTTAGAGAGACACAACAGCTAAGAGAGCGTGTTGGACAAAAACCGATCACTCGACTTGGTTATTCAATCAGCGAGCGCCGAAATGTGCTGAAGAATATGCAATTATCCATAACCGGTCCGGGGGCGATTTTCGGTACGTTCCCTTTGCCTACATGTGTTCAAAATGTGAGGACAAAAAAATGATTTATTCAAACCTGAGATGTCTAGTGTCTAGTCAATGGGAAATTGGGGAAAACCAAATAACTGGATTACAAATTTGGAAGTTAATTTGGTGTTGTAGACGAATCACGAAGCATACGGTCAATACGGTGTAGA